ATGATGTTATATTAGCCCTTGGAGTGCACCCTGTATTCACGTGTAAATGTCTTTAAAGAATGTACTATTTGAAACTTTCTTCATGGACTTCAGTAAGAATATTTTGGTATTGCCTGAAGGATAAACAATCCACAGTAAAACCTTGTGACAATAAGTCATTTATCAGTGTTTGCTATTTACAGTGCTTATTTGTGTATTTCCCCACAGTTTGTCCCTGAATGCACCACATATTTACATAAAACATGACGCCTCCTTGCAGTTTCATCCAATCAACGTCGAGCTGCTGGGACTGTTGTGCACCAAGTCTCGGCCCTCCCCGAGCTGATCTCCTTCCTGGATGGACCGTGAACGCACCACGCCCCTCTTTGCTCTGCTCTCACGCTGTCATTTAAAACAGCGAGGCCGCAGCAGGAGGAAAAGGCACAAGGAGGCTCCTGAGTGTGTCTGAGCCGAGTCACAGTCAGGTGTTAACATGTGAGCAGATACGCGCACATTTAAGTCTGCGGCGCGTTAAAGCGCAGACAACACACTCAATTGAGGCGTGTCATTACCTCCTTCACCGCAGTTAAGATGTGTGTTTGCACGGCGGCAGTTTGCGCCACAGTTTGCAATGAGGCCATTTAAACTGCGTTTAATCCCATAAAAACAGCCGGAGGACGCGTGGCTCGTCTGTTTGTGTCTGTGAACTGTCCCCGTCTGCCTCTCGCGCTCTCAAACACTGGAGCAAAAAGCACGTGGACCCGGCACGCGGCCGTCTGTTGCCTACCGGCGACGATGCTGCGCCGTGATTGGCTGAATGTAGGTCACTCGCCGCTGCTCTCGGCCTCCCATTGGCTAAAAATAGGTCACAGTCTCCGCCCACAGGTTTCCCCCATGCTACTGCCGCGTGACGGGCCGGCTGGAGGGGGTGAGGAGGAGGAAGGAGGGGAGGGGAGGAGGAGGGGTGTCTCGCTCACCAAACACCATGTTTACTACTTTAAAGGTGGCTGAACTGCTGTGTATTTTCAATAAAAATGAAGTTAACAATTCAACGTTCAAGATAAAATTCAAATGGTATAACCATGAAATGTCATTCTCCATTTTGTGTATTTACTATGGCATCTTTTTACTCTTTTTTAAAATTTTATTTCATTTTTTAAGTACCTCAAATGTGTTTTTTTAAACTGAACAAAAATAGACGCAGCCGGTCGTCTTTCCTGACTTGGAGAAAAAGTCTGTTTATTTAGCTGATGGTACACACAAAAGGCTTTTGAGCCGGTGACAAATTGTTGCCCACCAAGTTAATCCAGGTGTGGCTTTAGAGGACAATGATCAGGTAGCGTCACCGGCACACAGACACTCCTTGTTGACCAGTGACTACTAAAGGTCACCTTAATCACAATCAGAAACTGTTTTATTGCTCAGCAGGTTTTCACACACAAGGAGTGTGACTTGGTGTTTTAATGCATAACAATAAATGGTATTGTAGATTTGAAAATGTGTGGACAGGAAGTGGTGCAATTCAAATTAGCAGCAAGTGTAATCAAACAACGTAACAGAAGTACTTCCTTATATATATATATATACACTTACGACATGCAAATGAACTGTTGCCACAGATGACAAGGGAAAACCAACTGTGTTGAATGCTGTCTTGTCATTTGTTGTAATCAGGCACCTCAGTGTCCACAACTCCACCATTTCATCATCTAAAAAATAATTCCAGACAGCATAGTACAACAGATAATCTACCACATGATGCTCTGGATGTCTAACAACATGATCCAGTCCCCCCGGAAGTGTCCATCAACTTCAGTGGGCCGTTTAAGAAGAGAGGGAAGACTTTTCACATCTTTAACCTCATTAACTCTTTGTGTCACTGATTTGTTACTGACTTGTGATTTCTGCTCTATGGCACCACTGTCATTTCTGAGATTCTTGGTTGTCTCATGACGTCCATTCTGTTGTCAAGATGCTGTATGTTGGAGCAACAAATAGTTATTCTCCTATTTTAAAAAGAATGGAGAGAATGTGCTGTAGGGTGGCTCAGTTGTTTGCACTGTTGCCTCGCAGCAAGAAGGTCGCGGTTCGCGTCCCGGTGGGGGCACCGGGATCTTTCTGTGTGGAGTTTGCATGCTCTCCCCGTGCAGCGTGGGTTCTCTCCGGGTTCTCTGGCTTCCTCCTACACAGTCCAAAAACATGTTGAGGTTAATTGGTGATTCTAAATTGTCCGTAGGTGTGAATGTGAGTGTGCTTGGTTGTCTGTCTCTAAGTGTGGCCCTGTGATAGACTGGTGACCTGTCCAGGGTGTCCCCTGCCTTCGCCCTAAGTTAGCTGGGATAGACTCCAGCCCCCCCGCGACCCTAATGAGGATTAAGAGGTGTATAGATAATGGATGGATGGATGAACAAAAACAGAAACAAATGAGAAGCTTGTAAAATATAATACATCATAAAGTTTCCAGAAGTGCAGAGTAGCTTGCTAGTTTATAGTCGTAAAGCTACAGTAAAATCCTACTTATTAGTATTGAAACAATATTTAATAATGTCACAAATATAAGGAATTTTTCTCATTTCATTTTTGTTAGTTTTAAATGCAGTAATTTTACATGAATGTGGTTATATTTTTACTTCTCCCACCTATGTAATATGTGTGTTACGTAGTACACATCATCAATATTGTTAGTGTTTCTCTTTGTCATATTTTGCATGCGGTGTTTGCTTTTAAGTTGCATATTTTGCCAATTTCTGTTCTTTTCTTTGTTTAATTGCACAGTGGACATTATCTTTCACCAACATTAATATTTGCTTATATTTTTCTATGTGCTGAAACTTTACATGTATAAGCTAGTTTTAATTCATACTGTCGATTTCAGGATCACTAACATTTGTCCAGGGACAACAGTTGAAAATAGAATAGTATGATTAAATAAAACAGAACTCTTCTGTCCTTCTGGGACAATAACATTTCTATTGTTATGTTCCTTTCAGTGTTAATCGTGTGCTGTTGTGTGGTTTTTATGCGGTCGCAGTGTGAAGCCGATGTGCCAATCCTGACTTTGATAACAGCTTATAAATGTACTGAAAGGAGCAAATCATCCATTAAAACACCACATTGTGTCTCCTGCTGATACTAATTTGACTGACTCATAAATCAGATGCAGCAGCAGTTCCTAGAAGGGCCTTCGAGTCCTGTGTGGTGACGTAGTGCATCACACACATGGTGGCAGTGTGAGCAGTGAAATGCCAGCGAAATCTGCCTCTCTCTCTCTCTCTCACACACACACACACGTGCACGAGCGAGGAGAGAGCGTGCACGCTGGCATGCATCAGCTAAAAGTGTTGGAACAAGCAGCTCGAGTCCACTAATGTGTGATTTGAGCTTCATGAGGCGTTTCGAATTGAAATGATTCTTTCTTTCCTCCAGACTTGGGAAGCAGCCATCGTTGAAAGTGTGCTTAAATGGCGCCATCTAGTGGACATTTGTTGGTAATGCACCACTGAAGAAGCGCCACAGCTGCTGAACAGCATTCGCCCTGTCTCTAGCTGACTGGAAAATTCACATCCTCCCCCCTAAACTTTCTGGGAGACATGTGCCAGTGCATGTGGGACCTCTGGGGCCAGCTGGGTAGTCAAGAGGGTATAAACGGCTCACCTGACCGCAGGCTCCAGGTGCACAACACTTGCTCCATCGCTGGAACTGCTATGTGGTGGTGGTTGGGAATGGGGTTGGAAAAAGAGAGAGAAAGAGGCCACTTCAGGGTCCCTGTAGGAAGAAAGCGTGGATAAAAATACCTATAGTGGATTAATTGATGCAAACCAGTGCTTTACAGTAGGAGAGGTGCCAGTAGTGCATTTACAGACTGTGTTGGGTCTTCATGGGAGTAGACGAACAGTTCAGTGGCAGCTGAATGCAAATATTTGTAGCTGGAATAACCACACCGAACCTAAGCATCATTCTACCCATTTCTAATGTTATGACAACACCTTAAACCACGTACAGATGAGTAGTTTCTGTGTTTAATTTGTTTGGTGGTAAACCCAAACAAAAATTTACTTTAACTCTACACTTAGAATTTATCAGAATCTGTTTGGACCTGTGAAAGAAATGGATTTTGTTAATGGAGGCGAGACTATTTAGCTTAGCCTCATGTTAAATGTGAAATATGCCATTTTTTTCCCTGAATGTGTTGTTAGCAGTGTCACTGAATCATCCCTGAAAATGCAGGATACCGTTTCTGGAAAGATGTCGCTGTTGGTGGCAGAAACTGGAGGTGAACATCGCAAAACCTGAGCAAGTAAAACTATCTGCATGTTTTTAGTGGTTTGGTTGATGGAACCCACTGCTGCAGTTATCATGAACATAAAAAGAGAGAAGATGTGAAAACATCAGTAACTTGAGGAAAGCCTGGTAAGCAGAAATCTCAACCAGTGCAGTCATATGTTATCAACTGGAGCTCATGTGACCATCTAAGTTTGGGCTAGTCTTTGTCCCACAATGGGAATTAAAGATCTTTACAGAAATTAGAGACAAAGATGAGCTTGTTCTCAACCCCAAAATGCATTTTTGTGTTTTCTGTTTTAACTGGCTGCATCTTCTGTATATTTGCCTGATTCCTTCCAATAGGTTTCCTGTAGAGAGCCATGATATTTGGTGTTTAATACACATAAAAGTAGGTTTATAGCAGATTTTGTATTAAATTTAAGTCAAATAAATACTAGCATAAGTAGAGTGTATCGGTGCATAGCAGGTCAAATAAACATGCAAAAATTCTGCATATATTTAGATAAAAGCAGACTAACAACACACCATTACAAATAATACACTGAAACATTTACTTGATTAACCGTTTCTTCAAGCAAATCACTATTCTGCCTCCAATTTATAATTATTAAATTACAATTAAACAACTCCTGTTTACGTAAACCCATGTTTGAACATGATTTCCATTATTTCTCACAACCAGGAAAATTGAACGTATTCATCTGAATGAAAATGTAAGCAAAACGAAGGACGTAATGTTTCAGGGTTTCTTTTTTTTTTTTTTTATTTGATTCGAGGGTTTTCAACAACTCACTTTTTAGGCAAAGAAAAGGATAGTAATTTAGTAATAATATTACATGTTTTAGTTTTACAGAAAAAAAAAAGAAAAAACACGTCTGGACAGGACCTAAGTAATGAACTATGTGTACACGCTTTTCTTACAAAAATGGGCCATAAGTGTGGCAATGAGGGAGCAGATAAAAGGGGCTCGGGGAGGAGGAAGGGGAGGATATCACATCGATACATATACTCATCCCGCTGTTTTACAAAGTCCCCGACTCGTTCCCTCCCGCCAATACAATACCAACAATGATAAAAGAAATGATACTTGGAGTAAAAAACAGCAAATAATCAATATATAATAAAATATAATACGAATTGTACAGTACACTCCTGTTATTTCTCTTGTCCTTTTCAAATCCTGAACACATTAACAGCTTGAGTCGTGTTTTTGCTCCATTCACGCCTCTTAAAAAACAAAAAAAAAAAGTCACAAAAGTAGTGTACATTAAAAACAAGGTCACCAACACTTTTCTGTTCCTCTTAACACCTTTTCTTCCTATGCAGTCACTTTAGCACAGTATGGCCTTCAGTGACAAATACAACCTTTTACTGCCCCAACGCTCATTTTCATGAGCTTCTTAGAGTATCAGGTCAGCATTTTTCTTTTTCTTTTTTCCTTAAAAGATAAATTTATCTTGAGGGCAAATGTCATCTCATTATAAAAAAAAAAAGTGAGCTTCTCCACTGGGGTAACAAATGAACACACAGAGCAACAGACAAGGACTATACGTTTTAACTGTGAGTAATGTGAAAACATTCTGAAAAAATAAACTGGTACTTGAGGTTTCTCACCTCTACAATAGCATCCAATTCAAAGTTATGCGCAAACACTGCTAAAGGGGAAATTTAAATATTATATATATGTATATATATATAAAAAAAATACAAGATGATAGAAAAACCTCAAATTAATTTTTCCAAACAGATGCTACTAAAGTCATGTGGTCTAGAGTTCCTTCACCTTTGGGCAAGAGGAGACCGACAACGATGGTGGATTTGATTTTGGGCCTTTTGAAGTCCACGTTAATTAATCGTCCACCTCTGCTGTCGTCAGTGAGGATTGTATACAGGTTTATCCGGGGAGATTCTGATAGTTACACTAAACCCTCCCCATTCTCCCACCTCTTTTTTGTTAAAAACGTGCTAGCTCTTGCTCGCTTCTCGGATTATTTAAAAAAAATAAACATCAAAAAACAATCTAGTCTAGAAAACTGTTTGTGTTCACTGACTGTACTCAGCCAGAACTGTTGATCTCTCAGGCTGGACCAGAGCCGGGACCGTCAGCGGGACTGGTGAATGGTCACTACTGTCCGACTGGTCATGAGGCGATGGAGATCTCATCTTCATCAATGCCCAGGCCCCGCTGCTGGTCGTCACACCCCGGCAGGAGAACTTGTGCCGTGCCAGGAGCCCGGGGTTCCAGAAACGGTGTCGGCATTTGTGGCATTGGAATGCAGCTTGTTTCAGATGCTGGCCCCTGTGTTTCAAGGCTTTGTGTAATGAGCTGGTGCGTCGTCCACACACCTGGCACCGCAGACGGGCGTGGCGGCCTGAGTTTCTCGGTGGGTGTCTGATGGCGTGGTGGACCAGCAGGGAACCATGCTTGGCGTACATGGTGCTGGGACAGATGGGGCAGGGGAAGCGCTTGAGAGGGACATCCATTGAGGTAAGCCCCGTGACTCTGACAGCACCCCCGCACCACGACTTCACTTTCATCACACTGCCCTTTATCCTCAGCTGGGCCAGCAGCTTCTTTTTGTTGAGCTGTGCCTGCAGTTTGCCCCTCCTTTTCCTTAGTAGCAACAGCTTCCTGCGAGTGTCTTTACTCAGGGGGACGCCCACCAGCTTTCCGTCTCTCATGATGCTGTGGATCACCACGCGCCTTTTTTTCTTTCTGTGTTTTCTTGTCTGTCCATGCCGCTTTTGGAAGTTTTTTGCGCGGTAGTGAAAAGGGTGCTGCAGCTGTTGTTGTTGTGGCTGCTGTTGTTGTGGTGGTGGTGGTGGTGGTGGTGGTGGTGGCTGTTGTTGTTGTTGCTGCTGCTGCTGCTGCTGCTGCTGCTGTTGTTGCTGCTGCTGTTGTTGTTGTTGTCCCGAAGCTCCCTGCTGCATGTGGGACGACCCGGCGTAGTTGGAACCTGAACCAGAATCGTAGAAGAGCGGCGAGTATCCAGAGGGTTGGGATTGGTTGACGCGCTGGCCGCTGCGGTCAATGCCATGCTGAGATAGCTTGTGCCGCACTAAACTGTTTGAGTAGGCGAAGGCTTTGCCACATACTTCACAACGAAAGGATTTCTCCAGTCCCACCCCGCCACCATGGACAGTCTGTTGATGTGCCGTCAGGTGGAAATAGTGGCGGAATGATTTCCAGCACACTGTGCAGGTGTAAAGCCTCTGAGAGGGGGTGCCAGATGTTGGAGACTTTTCCCCTTGGGAGCAGGATGTGAAGTAGTCAGAGTTTCCCGAGTTGGCGACCTGACTAATGGCAGCTGCAGCACCTTTTATCCTCCTCCCCTGGTTGTCGATCTCCCCCTTTCTATGCAGTTTCCCATGCCTCACTAGACTCTGGGCGTAGGCAAACATCTTCCCACACAGGTTGCATTTGTAGTTCTTTTGCCCAGAGTGCACAGTCAGATGCTTGGTGAGGTGGAAAGGCTCACGGAACATTTTGCCACAGACATCGCAGGCGTGAGGCTTCTCCCCCGTGTGAACACGATTGTGTCTCCGCAGAGTCTCCGCTCGTCTGAAACGTTTGCCACATATCTGACACCCATACGGCCTCTCTGAGCCGTCCCCTGGAGGCGCAGGGCTCCTCCGCCTCCGAACGATGGTGTTTGGGTCCCTTTTCTCTCTGGGCTTTCTGGGCCTCCTGGGCTTTGTGTGGGGCTGGCTGGGGTGGGTTAGAGGTATGGTGGAACCGTTGAGGCTGGACGTGGATGATGGTCCACTCATGTTACCAAACCCCAACCCCCCCAGCAGGCCTCCGATGATATCCCTCCTCTCTCCCTCCCGACTCTCTGTGTTTATGTCACATGAGGCTGCAGCTGCAGCGGCGATGGCTGACATTGCACTGCTGGTGACCTCATCCTCTGAATCATCCAATAGGGAGGAGAGGGGCAGGTGAGGCTGCTGTGGTTGCGGTGGTGGATGGTGGTGGTGCTGTTGCTGATTCTGTGGGTGGGGATGAAGAGTTGGGGCTAAAGGGGCCTTACGGAGAGTTTGGTTGGTCATTTCACTGGCTAACGTACTCTCTGAGGGGTACAGGGAAGAAGTCTGTGACCGTCTGTAGTCGTCAACTCCACTGTTGTAGGACGACTGGTTCTGGTAGCGATTTCTGGAATAATCTGTTGCATACTTGTCATTAGCCATCCCTGCCCCATCGTTTGAAATTGCTACCCTGTTCCCACTGCTCCCCAGTTTACTGCTGCTTGGGTTGGATGATGCGCTCCCTCCACTGCTGGCCCGGTTTTTTGAACTGCGAGGAGGTTTGCCACAAGCTCCTGAGGCAGCATGGTTGAGTAGAGAGGTGCTCTCACGGAAACAACGCCCACAAGCCGGACAGCGGAAAGGCTTCTCATCGTGGATTTTCTCATGTCTCGTAAGTGACTCTCGACGATTGAAGGACTTTTGGCAGATGCTGCAGACAAAAGGCCGGTTTTCTGAGTGGGTGACACTGTGTTGGATGAGGTGACCCCTCTTTTTAAATCTCTTCCCACACTCGCCACAGCAGAATATTCTCTCTGGGCTGGGAGAGTTACAGTCCGACTTCCTGCTTTGGCTTTCTGGCGTCAAACCGTGGCTGCGGAGATGCCTTCGAAGGCTGGACAGGTGGGTGAAGGTTTTACCACATTCACCACAGTGGTAAAGGGGTTCAGGTTCGGGCTGGCCAGATGAGCTATTGCTGTGACTGTCTTGGGATTTTGACAGTTGTTGGTTACCGTTGGCTACAAGCACAGACGTGGAGTTTGAGGAAGCGGGGGCAGACGAAGAGGAGGAGACAGTGGAGGATGACTGCTGTTGCTGTGAGGATGATGAAAGTAGAGAGGAATGCTGTGGCTCACTTCCGATGCTACTTAGACCAACACCCCCAGATCCTCCTCCCACGAGGCCCGTCGAGGAGCTCTGACTGTGCCCACTTGAGCTGCTATTGTGGCAGTTACTAACACTGCTGCTGCTATGGCTGTGACTGCTGTGGCTGCTGTGGCTGCTACCGTCAGTTTTCCTCTGGGGCAGGTAGCCTGCCATTGCTTTCTTTCTCCTGCTTCCTCCACTTGAAGCTGATGTGGACGAGCTGTCTCCCGACTTTGTTCCATCGTCTTTAGAGAGTGACAGGTGTAGGGGCAGGGGGAGGGGGAGACCGGCCTCTTGTTGCATTAGTGATGCTATCTGGTTGGAGGAAAGGACTGGAATGCCTTGGAAATCAAAGCCGCCCAGTGGGGCAGGTTGGGGGGCCGGGTGGAGAGGGTGCGGGTGGTGAGTGTGGCTGTGTGGATGAGATAAGGCATGAGGGGTCAGCTGCTGTTGTTGCTGTTGAGGCTGTGGAGCTGTGTGGCTGTGGCTGTGGGAGGAGTGGAGGGCAGGAGGTGGGGCTAAGGCTGAGTTTGACTCGGTGGTCCCTTGGCCGAGGCCCAAGCCCAAGTGGTTGTGAGTCCCTTGCTGAACAAGGAACTGCTCCAGGCTGCTGTTGGTGGGGACGCCAGACAGGAAGTACTGGTTGGCTGCGAGCATGCAGCTGAACTGCTGGTGGAGGCTGCGGGGATCGGACTGACCGACTAGGGGGACTGCAGTGCTGCCTGAGGGGTTGTTGGAGGCTGAAGCAGAGGTGGAGGGTGAAGGTGAGGAGGAGGAGGGACCAGGGGAGGGCTGGGGGACAGAGAGACCTGGATGTAACGGGGGAGGCGGGGGTGCTGGTGCGACAACACCCCCGATTACCCCAGCGCTTCCCCCACTGCTGCTCCCGCCAAAGTCAAAACGTCCCATCCCAGAGTGGAGCTGCTCCTGTGCCAGCGCAGCCTCGGCCGGGTGAAAAGGTCGCAGAAACTGGGGGTATCCTGACGAGGAACTCCCACTCCCGCTGCTGCTACTGCTGCTCATCTTACTGGACTTCCTGGAGCTGTGGGACGAAGAGGACGACTGGCTCTGGTGGGAGATGGATGGGGGAGGCGCACTCATTTTGGCGAATAATGATGAGGAGTCAGCAAAGGCGTTGCTCCGAGAGCTCTGGAGGGATCCCAGGCCGAGGCCAGATAGGAGGCTTCCAGAGCTCTCAGCAGAGGGCTGGTGCTGCTGCTGGAGCTGCTGCTGATGCTGCAGCTGGACTTGCTGTTGGTGGCTCAGTTGTCGTTCTAATCCAAGGCCTTTGAATTGGTGGGCTTGGTGTCCACTTAGCATCTCTAAAATGTCCATGGGGTACTTGCTGAACTGGAACATCTCCCAAAACAGCTGTGGCAAAGTGTCGAGGGGAAAAAACTACCCCGAACACTAAGTCTATAGTTGCTAGAAACAGCAGTGAGCCCTTATCAAACTAATAAAGTTTGATTTTCAGAGGTAGAGGCCGCTGTGGTTTCTACCCCAAACTTCCAACAATCCACCAAAAGCCGCTGCTTGATTCACTCACATCAATGTATCACTAATAAATTTACTCTCCATTTAAAAGCGAAGCCTTCAAGTGCTTCTGTGGGATGGTATAAAATGGGTCATAAATAGGCAATATACTAAATGATAAAAAACTGAGTCTGTAGTGTTCCTTTTAAGTGTTCCATAACTGTAAGCTGATTTTTAAAATCAGATCAGCAGTCCCATGAAGTGGAGTGTGTCCCGTTATTTAAGAGGAGGATGAATCATTGCTTCGCTGTCCTTCTGTCCCGTCATGAAGTTTTGTGAGGAGCCTGAGGAAACACAAAGAAAAGACAACAATGTCACTTAGTGATTCGGTGATACTGAGCAGATAAACCAAACAGCAGCAGTGCATTAATTTTCTTGCCCTCAGTGCCTCAAACCCCGGATGCTGACTGTCACGAAAGGAACCCCTAGCATAAACAACTCAGCTTCAGCACAAAGCAATTGATTTAGCTGCAGCTGATACAGCGAGAATAAACACATTTTTGCAGTTGTGAATATTTAGCTGCAGTAGTGCTTATTTTACATTGACAGAAATTATAATCGTATTAATATTGGAAACGCCTCCTGTTGAGGCTGTTGAGACTTTCTGTGGCTCAACAAGTCTGAAGGTATTATTCAAAGGGCGGCAAGTTTCATGTACACATTTCTCCAAAGAAAAGAAAGTGTGACCATAATTACCACATCTAATTCGATAAACAAGCACACTGACAATGTCCAACTCAGCCTAAGTGAAAACTGGGTCACTGCCTTCCTGATATACCCACTCAGATGCCTGAGCAGCTGTTGCACAATTATTTTTGGACAACTCTGGAAATCTTGGAGTGCGCTTTGCATTTCATTGTTTATTCAACCAGGTAAACTTTTCTTCAGCTGGCTCTCTAATATCAGCCAGCTTGAACCCAGTGACCCCACTGCTCAACAGCTGCCATAAACTCATAACTCTGAGGGGTTTTATCCTCAATGGTTTTCTTCTTAATGTTAAGCTGTGTAGCCAGATTGTATTTTAATTTGGCTTTAGTTTTAAAAAAGCAGTTTTAATCACATTAGCTTACGGTTAGTGGGCACAGGGCTGTCAAAAACTTAACACAGTCATCAAGAAAAATAAATATCAGTGTCAAAAGGGAGATATGCAAATGCAATCTTCATCATCTATAGTTTATTTGTGAAACTCAAATCAGCCTAATAAACAGAACAATTAATCATTTTACAGCTTGTTTTTTTGTTTTTTTATTGTGTGAAAATAAACATACAAGTCAAATAATAGTCCTTGTCCACTGTTTAATTCAAAACATATTGTCTTGTTGCAGCATCTTTAGTGTGGCTGCTTTCCTTGAAAGCATTTTATCTGAACTGTTGGCACACATTTGGAGATGTAAAAATTAAGATTAAAAAATAATACACCATTTGACCTATTCAACACATCAGACAAATGAGTAAGTGTGGAAAACGGAGTTAATAAAGGCAGAAGAGAAGCTCAAAATGCCTCGTGTCTCCTGTCCAGCTCCTGCTGGATAACATGGCTGCTGTCGGCTTGTCGCCACCAACACACACCACTAAATGCCAGTTTTAAAAAAAAAAAAAAAAAAAAAAGGTGGTCTAATGGACACTGTCTTTGTGTGTGAGAGGAGAACAGGAGCTGCCGAGAATCAACACTGAGCTCAGCATTTCTTTCTCTATGGCTAATGACTTTTGTTTTGTTTTAATTAATGAAACAATTATGTTAGAAATGTATCCACAAAAATGTAGGTCACTACACAGAGCAGCAGCTTGATACTGTTAACTCTTGAAGGAATGTAGTACTTTAGAATTAATATATAAACAGATACTTATAGTGTCAACTACAATGTCCAATTCAAATCCACCACTTAGCTTTTAACCCTGACACCATTAACAACCGATCCCCAGTCAGAATACATAATATCTGAAAGTAAGTCTTCCTGTCCAACCTTTACATTTCTCAACAAACCTCACCTTGGTCATAACTGTCAGGTAAAAAGAAGCATTTTAGTCTTCTAATACTACACCGAGGGAATTTCTGACTATGCAATTTAACAATATTAAAAAAACACGATATGCAGCGAGACAGCAACTTTGGCAACAAGCAACCTGACTTGAGGGTAAATATAATAATAATAATAATAATAATAATAACAATAATAATAACTCCTATCCTACAACCTCCACATATTCACACATTCAGTCCTTCACTCTTTAACCCTATAAACCACAAAACCCAAAGGCATGTTGTCTTAAATCAATAAGTTAAATAATAGCCTAAATGACACCATTTATCAGTCAGAAACTGTTTTTTAAAAAAATCATCAGTCCTCCTGTTTTTGGTCAGGAAACATTTCACCTAAATCCCTGTATTTTACGTGTTGTATTTTTAAAAAATTGCCAAAAATAAACCCTTTGCGCTTATTAAATCTATGAAAACTAAAAAATTCTGCACTGCTCAGCACAGCAATAAAACTTTCAGTGTTTTAACTGTAACAAACAGCCACACAACAAAAATTCTGTGACTTTTGGCAAAACTTCATGTTGTTAGACAGAGCAGGTAAGAGACAGGTTTTGAAAAAATGTAAAATGTGACTAGTAAAATATTTATAGTACATAAAGTCACCATTTTTCTAAAGTATTAACATCTGCAGACACTTGAAAAATGTTAAACATGCTGATTCTTTCACATTTTGAGAAATTCAACTTTGTCTACTATTTTTAATCATTTGACATTATAACTGTGTTATGCTGCACAAAAGACATTTTTGAGTTTTATCTACTTCTAGCCACAGTTGTGTTGTTTCCATATACTTTATATTGCAGTGAAAAAATAGAATACAGGAGGAAAAAATGTGGCAGGAGCAAAAGATGGCCCACTTATTCAGAATCAGTACTCAAACTAAACACTTTGTGTCTAGTGCTCTTATCTTTCTCCAACAGTTTCACTGTCATTTATCTTAATACTGTCAAAATTTCTGCACAGATAAACACTCTGATGCTAATCTAATGACACTATTTCCGATAACAAATGACACTTCTCTCTTTCACTGTTGGCAACAAACTGCTGCTAATATCCCTCACCAAAATATTAGCATAAACAATTCAAGTCGTTTGTTCTCGTGTCTCAATCTTGCCTTTTTCTGGGTGACATGTGTTTCGAAAAACTGAGGTTAAATCTGCTCTTAATTCTGACCTTCTCTTGGCTTTGTACAGCGCGCTCGACATGAACAACTCTCCCCTGAGACAGAAACCAGAGAAGCCAAACATCCTCATATGTGCCGTCACATCTGTGTACAGTTTGAAGCTTGGCAGAGTGACAGTGGAGACTCATACCATGCAGACTGATTTGTATCTAAGAAATTTCTGAAAATATGGCATCAAATTCTTGCTTATAATCTAAGCCAAACGTCCGTTTTAACTATGACAAACTGCTGTAATTTAAAACTCTGTTTGTGCGCTTGCATTTGTAAAGCACTAATCAGAAACTTGAAGGAGGACCGTTTCAAATGCTTAAAGTTAGATAGCTGTTAGAGCAGAAAAAAGGTGCTTGTGTTCACAAAAGATATTATTAAAAGTTGTTTTTGTAATTCCTAGAATAATTACGGACTGTGCGTATACTTGTATTTAATAAAGCAATCTTATTAATTACCACAAAAAGTTTCTCCAATAATAATGATACACTTCTGAGTAATTTGTGATAAATCTTTCATCTCTCTTCAGCACAATCATCCCATCAGGCTGCAGAAACAGGGTTACGAAACTGACAGGTACAGATCCAAAACGAGGAAAAACAAATAACGCTGTCAGAAAAGTAAATACAAACAACCTCAACACATGACACATCAGCACTAAAAAATGGACTGAATCACTAAAGCTGCAAGGAATGCACATGGTCTGTGCAAACGAAAACGAGAAACAAAAATAGCTTCACCACGATTCGGAAAGGTAACAATAATGACTCCACACAGTCAAGGTCTTCTCCCCCACCAAATTACACTGACTGGCATTAGCGACGGAGCTCGCTAATAAGCTTTTTGTGGTAACAGTAACTCAAACCCAAACAGCAGTCGCTCTGTCTGCCTTTTCAGTCATTACTGGGTCTGTGACAGGAGTCAGACCTGCCGCTGTTTGTCACTTTGTCAGTCCCCTTTTTCTAATTTCTACATTTTTATTTACTAGTATTATGTGAAATGCAACTGCTGTTACCAGTGTGCAAAAGCCAATTAGTTCATCACATCTTGATCTGTACGACATTTCTTTCAAAGTATTGTCGCTGTTGCCTTGTTAAGGAGTAAATGTTCGACCATGTGTAAAACGAATCCAGCTATTGATTTAGAAATTGATGATATTTTCAAACCATAACAAAATTTAGTTTTATTCAGGATTCACTCCTAAATTGAATATAATTAAAAAGCTGAATGAGGGTTTTTCACATGAGGACATTTTATTTTCACTGTTAATCACTGGCACACATTGTGTATATCCGTCAGATATAACAGAAGTATTGAAAGAGCTTCTTTACACAGTCATGATAATAAATGTATAACATAAAAATATATATTGCGATATTTTAGGCCATGTCACCCGGCCATACTTTCAAGATGCAACTGCATCTGCATCTTCATATCTGCTGGTCAACCAATCAGCACAACAGTCAGTAATATAAATCGCTTTCATTGACGAACCAGGATAAATGACAACAAACGGCAACTTAAAACCCGGCTTCAACTTTTAAAGTCACAATGAGGCTCTGCTGTGTCAATATAATGTAATTTGTGTTTAGGAAAATCCCAATTATATAGCATTAACAATTTAATTAACTACAAGCTAATGATAAAAGTCCAAGTTGCATGGATTTTGCGTTTTTTTATTCTTTTTCTAGTGAGCAGCGGGAGGCACTGGGCTTGACAGACCGACTGAAACCGAGAGTCTACAGGTTTTATTCCCAACCAATCAGCACAGCGGCTCGGCTCACTGATCAGTAACCAGAGTGGAGAAACAAATTAATGCATCACTGACTACTGATTGGCTGGAATAAAAACTGTCAGCGCTCACTGGCACATTGCCACCCCGGTGTGCGTGATGTATGTGGAATTTCCTTCAAAGAGCTTGACCTCAGATGTGCACACAATAAAAAGAAAAAAATTGTGCAATATATTTGTCGTTGAATTACATATTTCCTCCCAACGGTACGCAATTCTTTGCAACTGCCTTTGAAGTGTGTTTGCTGTTTTCTGGTTGGCATGTTAACAGTGAAAAAAAACAAAAAGAAAAACAGAAATACAACAATGTTCAAAACACATTGATCAGACTATAACACTGCACTTTGTGTCTTTACAGATGTCCTAGTCTGAGAAACACTTTAACACCAACTACAACTAATATCTGAAACAAAACAAAGTCGCAACCAGTGATTATTTTCATCATTAATTAAACTGATGAGAAGATGCATGGTCTATAAAACACCATAAAACTGCAAAAAGGCAAGATGGCATCATTTAATGCGCTGTTTTGACTGACCAACAGTCACAAGATAAACTTTACTATGAAGTAAGAGATGAAACAGCAGGAATTTCTCACATTTCACAACATGGAATATTCATAATTGTAGCTTTATTTTTGCTTGGGAAAAAAAATGCTGTGGTGATTGGTTTTTAAAATAGTTGATTTCATTAACGGTCGCCCCATTTCTACCCAAATAAATAACAATAAAACAACAAATAAAGCAAATAAATTATTATTAGACACTAATTAATGTTGTGAAGCTAAATACAATCTTTAATCATTCATTACAGAGAGAAATTTGATTTTAGATGCAACTAAAGTGAGCAGGCACATACTTGCAACAAAAGCTGAACACCTGATTTCAATTTGGGACTGCACACATTTTACAGGCATCGTATTTATGGTTACAGATGTTTAATACAATGCTCCACAAACAGGAATATCACTGTCTGAAGGCGACATGCAAAATCTAATTCAAGGCACACTGAAGATGTTCTGCCAGCTCTTGATGGTTTTGTCACACATCTGATTTTCTTATTGTTCTCTCTTAAATTATTCCTCCAAATAATTCATACCAGTGAACATATTCTCAGATGCAGCATGAAATAAAAGAAAATGAGGCAACTCTGAAGAGTGCAATCCAGCCATGCTATCAAGTAAACATTTTTATGAGAGCGTGGGGATAAAAACACTTTATCCAGAGAGAAAGAGTGCCTTAAGAAACGTATTAAAACATGCATAACTTGTCAAATCATAGTGTTTAATTTGGAAAGATGAGCTTCTTGACCTCTTCTAACCCTTGACCCCGTTTAAAGAGAAGAGGTAAGCTGTAGTATTATCACATACTGCTATTTTTAATGAGCACCGAGGAACTCAAAGCTAATTGTGCTGCAATAATCTACATTTCCAACCTACTTGCAAGCATTTCTTCATGACTACTGTGCTGTGCTTCTGTCTCAAACCGTTACATGACCAGGGCTTCTGGTGCACCTGCAGCATCTACAAGACGTGTGTATCCTGTTTTCTTAAATTTGACATATTCTTGAACCTATATATTCATTCATTCATTTTTTTTTTTTTCATTTCATGTTACTTAAAAAAAAGAAGAAGGTAGGCTGCAGCTTCTTAACATCAGGAGAAACGGTGTAGCTTGTTTGGGAAGTAAATCTCCCCACAGTTGAGCTTCCACTCAGTCTGAACTGAAGATGCAGCGCCAGTTTTTGCAAAATGCATGCTCAGGTACGTGCAGTTTCAAATGACATGAGCTTTACTTAACTGTCAGCTCACATTTTTAATGTTGATAATATCAAGCACAGCACTAGTGACACACGGAAACTAATTAGCCCAGCAGTGTCTCAATCTGGAGCACAGTGGCTGCATGTTGTTTGCATCTTACCGGCTGATCCACAGGTCTGAAGCTCCCTGCTGGACCGCAGCTGTGGAGGGAAACAGTCCGCTTTCTCCGGCGACAACCGACGACTTCAGGTGGACAATCTGAAACAGGTGAACGGATGGCCGAGCAGGTCAGACTGATACAAAAATCCGTTATCAGTCACTCACCGGAGGCTGCTAGCATCCGTCAATCACCCAGCTAGCTAACGGCAACTCACTGCTCTAACAGAATGCTGCCATAATGGTTCAAAAATTGACAGAAATTGCATTTTTTTAGCCGCATTAAAACAATTACACATACAGTGTCTTTTAAATGAAGCTAGAATATATGTGACAAAACGATAACATACATAATAAGTAAACTAACACAGAGCTAAAGCAGGTATCCTCACGCTAACAGAGCTACCGCTTAGCTGCGCTGTTAGCAGCGCTTAGCTTGGCAGCTAGCAAACTAGCCAGCACACTGCTGCTGGAAACGGCTTTTGTTTTGGTTTTTACCTCGGAGCAGACGACGTCTGGAGGCAAAATAAGCTCAGAAACAAGGCAGTAAAAGTATGAAAACACCGAGGAGAGGGTGCGCCGTGAGAGCGGGGTCCCTACTGCCTGTCAGCGGGGCCTTTTTCTTCATCCATGGAAAAACACTGTGAAAGGCCTGGCTCTCCATCGGCCCGGGAGGGCTGCTTTTCACTCGCTAACAAAAACTATTTCCGCTGGCCCGGCCCGATATGTCCATTGTCTGCCTCCGCCGTCCTGCAGCTCCGCCGGCTCACTGCTCGTCTTCACCCACTCGGCGCCTTTGTTTTGTTTCCGTCGTGTTTTTCCTGCTTTTCTCCGCGGCCGCCTGTTTTCCGCCCTGTGTCAGTTTTAGGTGCCCCCCTCTGTAGTCGACGGCTCCTCCGATGCTGCTAGCGTTAAAATGGTAGTTTCCTGTCTGCATAATGGTTCCGGGTAGAGCCAGGCACAGGTTAGTCCGTCCGGCCGCGACCACACCGCCGCCGCGTTCACATCCACCTCTGCCCCTCCGTTTGTGAAATACGGATCCGATCCAGCATGATGCTCATGAATAAATAAACCGTGCGCGTGCCCACGTACACGCGCCTGCGTGCGTGCACGTTTGCACTCCACTAAGAGAGATAAAACTGAGCATCCTGACACCGCGTGTCATTAAGTCCCCTGCGCGCCACTGTGTTTGCATGTGTGTGTGAATGTGTGTGTTTTCACACCAAGTGTGTGAAATGTTAATTAGTCAATTAAAGATATCATTACGGCGCATGCTGCATAACATTACAAGGTGTCTGTGTATGTGTATGTGTATGTGTGTGTGTGTGTGTGTGTGTGTGTGTGTGTGTCATGCATGTGCTGCTGTGTGCCTGGAGTCTAATTTGCATTCAATTAAAGTTACTATTACAGTACAGTATTCCTGCTTATTGCTGTTGTGTGGGTGTGTTTCACTGTGTGCATCTGTCACTTTGCTCTGTTGCACTGCTCACGTTGTGGAGGCACAAATGTTTACACACTCAGAGTGGTGGAGGCGAAAAGAGTCCCAATAAGCATTTATTTTTAGAGTGAAGACAGCATTAAGATGAGGTAAGCAGTGATTAAGTTTGCAGAAAATGAATGTAAGTCGATGTAATGTTTTGTGAAGCAATCAAAACAGCAATGTGTGTGTGTCAACTCTGCACACATGCAAATATATATAACATGAAAGTCAAAAGGAAGGAGAACAAAACATCTAATTGAAAAGTAATTTTAAAAAAATAAACTTAACAAAACAAAGCAACAGTTGCATCAGGCTTTCTGAGTTGTGACAACTTCTTTTGAAATTAAGTTCAACTGACAAACGACGCTGAGTTGGAGGAATAAGCTTCTGCTCTCCAATCAAAGGTTTTTTAAATGACCACATTTATAGCTGGTAGCATAAACACATGCTTGTAAGTTTTTAAGGACTTGAAATCTTGAAGTTATCAAGCCAACTTAATTAACTGACTGTAACTTAAATTTTGTTTTAAATCAACCAATGTGAGTTTGAAATTTGAGTTTAAATAAAACACAACATTAAGTTGGTGTAATTACCAACATTATTACATCAACACAAGTCATGAAAACAATGGAACACAAAAAGTTTATCTATCATAAAGGTCTCAGAAAGGGTCCTAACCTCAATATTTAAGATTGTCAGGTTATATCTTAACACTAATCTTATTTTTCTGCTGGAAAGCACATTGGCTCCAAGGCTGCTGCTTTAAATGTGCGATATAAATAACAGTGATTTGACTGGACTTGACTTGGTATAGAAAAAAAAAAAACGGCGAAAAATTGCCCATGTTTTGTCCACCGGCTGCACTCCTGCATGTGTGTTTTCCTGCTTGCATGTGTTCTGCTTAATAAAGGCTCAGGAGGGTTATTGATGCAAACCATCCAGAGCAGATCTATTCAGCCTGAGACTTTGGAGATATCCTGTCACACTACAGCCATAAAAGTATTGAGCAGCTGATCGGTTTACGCTTGTATCGGTGTGAGGAATCTACTGTTGTGTGTCCCACTGGCCCAGCCTCACTTTAATTGGTATCTTTCGCTCCCGTTCTCCATTTATCACGTCATTCAGTAATCTAAAATCGCACAAAATAATCTATGAAAGCAAGATTAAAGGTCACTGAGGTGGTGAGACGGATGGTGGTCTCGACCTCGCCTGTAATTTCCTAATTTTCCGAATTTAATGACTTTAATTAATTGAATAATTTGTGCTAAATTAGGAGGAGTGGCAGGATGGAGGGATGTTGTTACTCCGTGAGAGGCCTCAAATGACTCCCTCCGGTGCATAAACACAGAGAGGCAGGGCTAATTTAAGAAACAATAGTTTGGTGAACACACTTTTCTCCAACTCATACACATGAATAGGCCATTCTTTGGAGTTGGATACTTTTTCTAGAATCAAAATATGTCTTTACCTGTTCTTTGATCACATAATTACTGACTTAATTGGTCATGTTGACAGTTTAAACACTTTATTTTATTAAGAAAACACTATTGCATGATTTCTTTTTCTAACATTTAAGACCTCTGGCTTATTCTGTTAAAAAAAAAAAAAAAGATCCATAGAAAACAAGCTAATATATCTCAAATAATGTTAAAGTATAATAAAATCTTACTATATACATCCTTGTTTACAGGATAGTGCAAATGGTAAGAATTAGACAGTTATTCCAGAAAGATTCAGCTTTCTGTTTACTAATATGTGAGAAATCGCAGTTATTTTCTATTTATTATTATTTGTAATACAATATCTTTAAGCTTTGGACATTTTTTTCATAATTTATTTGATGTACTTTTTGTTTTCATTTTCATTTTGAGATGCAACTATTGTGTTTTTAATGGAAAAATAATTAGCAATGACCACAGCAGCCTGAGTATCTTTTTCACTTCACTTCAGTTTCTCAAAATGCAGATTTGCTACTTTTACCTATTTTGTGTCTTGTGACTTGGAAAATCTTTGGATTTTGGACAACTGACTGCACAAAACAGCTAATTTAATACATCTCACAAAGATTTGGAGATGTGAGAAGGTACATTTTCTCTTTCTTGTCACAATATCTCGAGAGAGCAATGCATGTTCTTATTACATTTATGTTTGTTCATTTTTCTGACTAGTTTGCTGTTGATTAGTGGTCTACATTTTTAAAAATGGTATAATGATTGATGTTTCTTCGAATGACCAAAGCGTTTCTTATGAATTGCACAAAAGATCGGAGAAATGTTAGTTTCTTTAACAGCGTGATTTGTCGTTGTCTGTTGGTCTTTCTCCATAGCCTCCCTGAACTCAGAGACGGGCTGAGGAGCTCGGACATCCGGAGGGAACTCGAAGAAGAGTTGCTTTGAAAGGAGCCAGCTGAGGTGGTTCGGGCATCTGATTAGGATACCTCCGAGGCGCCTTCCTTTGGAGAACTACCAGGCACGTCTTAACTAGGAGGAGATCCCAGGACAGACCCAGAACTTGATGGAGGTATAACCTATCTCATCTGGCCTGGGAACGCCTCAGGATCCCCCAGGAGAAGCCAACCAACCCGGACCCGGATAAATGGTAGAAAATGGATGAATGAGGCGATTTTGTGGCTGCAAGTCTCAACAGTTTTGAAGCTATGGAATAAGGCCATCTCCACTTTGATGCTTTAAAACCTGACGAGCAAGTGTAGATCTGACTGAAAATTACACACAATACAGTGGTAACTCATCATTCACATGGCAGCTTCACCCTAAAGCTGCTTTATCAACAATTCGGCTGTAAATGGGGCCATAATTTACTAAATGAACACAATCCTGCATTGAAGGAGCCTTGCAACTAGCAGTACACACCACATGCTTTCAAGGACATCATTTATTGATGCAACAGATCAAGTGAGAAGTAGGTCGTGTTTTCATTGACCTCTATACAATCAGATTTTTCTTGCAGTCAGTGAAGCTGCCCCCTGCTGGCCAGTAGCAAGAACGCAGGTTCAAGGTTCTATGTTCACTTTTCACACACGGGATAAATCCATCTTTTAAATACTGTACAGTTTCTGAGCACAACCAATATGTGTAGAAAAAAAACAGCTGATATGGAACTAGCTAGCAGTTACTAATCTCTTTTAACTTACACAATGACATCCGGTGGCAGGAAGTGGTGACTCGTGGTTCATCTTTATACACAGTCTGTGGTATCCCTGGTGGTTTAGTCGTCACAAACCTTTGTTGTGCATTTAAACCTTGTTAAATTTCTCTCAGTGTAATCATATAGACTTAACTGTCAGTCAGTGATGAATAATACAATTTCATAGAAAGAAAGGTGTACGTTAAGATTAAGGTTTACAGGCAATTTGTAAAAAAAAAAAAAAAAAAAAAAAAAAAAAATTGCGAAAACGTGCATCACATTTTCCAA